TTTTTGAACAAGATGAGCATAGAGAAGAGATTGCCGGAATTCTTCTAATGAAATCATGTACAAAATTCTCAATTTGTTACAGAAACGGCGTGTGCGCTGCTGAAGGAAGGCGATAGAAGGGTCTTGGACAGCAAGTCTCCCATGGTGAAAAGCTGGTTAGAGGGTTTCTCGAAGCGAATTACTAATTAATTATTAAACACCTGGACGTGGAGGACGTTTCGTAGCTGAGCCTGCACGTCTCCAGTGTTGGCGTTTCTGTTTAGTTATGTATATAGGCGCTTGTGTTCGTTCTGTTGGTTGCTGCTTGGCATCGTGCCAATATTGTAAGCTGGTAATATAATCCCAGCAGTGTGTGGATTGGTTATAAACACGTTCTGTTGCTTTCTTAAAAACCAGGGTTTTACCTCCGTCAAAACAATAGCAGGGCATAAAGGCCCTTCACAGGGACATGTTTGCTAATATATACTCGTATTAGAGGGCTAAAGGCCATACCAACGTCCTAACCCTAATGGACTCCTAACTATGATTTGGAGGCAGTGGGGAAAGTTTTTTGCAGATGAAACACTAGCGATATCATGTTATTGATAACTTAGATCATGTTTGGATCCACCTAACTACTTCCCTCCGTTTGTGTTTACTTGTCAGTAATTTTTTACTGTAGCAAATTTGACCATCTGTTTTTTCTTCTAAAAAAATCTTAGATACTTCAATGTATATAACACTAATGAAGTATGTTCAATAAAGAATTATATATGTGAAAACTTGATGTATCTAAAAATCTTTTGCAGAAAAAAACGTATGGTCAAAATTGCTACAGTAAAAATTCGGTGACAAGTAAATGAAAATGGAGGTAGTAACCAACTATTAGTTGTGTTAGTTAGAAAAAATCAGTTAATAGCTAATTGTTAGCTGAACGGCAAGTAAGACATTAGCTGAGCTTATTATTAACTGAGGATCTAAATAGATCACCAGCTAATATACTCATGTATTGCCCAAAAGTTGGCAGCACGCGTGGGGAACCACCCCTTTTCTTTGAAAATGTGATTTATGATTGATTCGATTGATTACATTACTGTTGGCGTCCTTGAATCACGCAGGCACGTGGGCCACGGCGCGGAGGCGTGCCAGTGCGGGTCACCTGCTCCCTCCTCTCCCTCTCCCACGTACAGCCTGCCTAGCTGTAAAGATGTCACAGAAGAGAAGGCCAGCCAAGGCACCGTGCAGAGCACAAGCTCGCCACAAACAACACAGAGCCGTGCCATTAGGTAAGGTAGCTCGTGGCTCCATCGACTGATCGGCAGCTGGGGGTGGTTGGCACGCTCTTTATAATCTTTTTTTTTAATGGAAAGCCTGCTTATTATATCACAGCTCCATCAGATAATAAGCTGCTGCCAACACCACCTTGGTGACGGGGTTTAGTTACTTAGGCCCTATTTGGATCTTACACGTTCCAAAGTTTAGGCACTAAACTTTAGACCACTTAAGCTTATGAGACTCTAATCATATGATCTATAGTCAACTTCGTAGAAAGGCCATTAGTTCCTTAGATCATAAATTTGAGCCAAAGTGATCTAAAGTTTAACGTTTATCTTTAGAGCAGCTCCACGGGAGCACCCGAACCGCAGTTGTCAGATCAGAAGTCGAATTGAACTTGGGCAGACCAGTCGAACCGTCCTGTAAAATAATTAGTCTTGTACACGCGTGAGAAGAGAGAGTGAGAGAAAATGACAGATTCAGACTCTTTTGCGTGGCTGCGAGAGGGACGGAGAGAATTTTTTTTTAAGTACCACGAATCGATGTTTGTATTGGAGCAATCGCTCTGGTTTCACGGTTCGCTCTAGCACTACAGGTGCCCTTACCTTGCCAACAACTAAACTTTTTCATACGATCCAACTACGGTCTTATTTCGTTGGTTTGTTTATAAACCAGCTAGACAGTAATAGAGGTAAAACTTAGACCGTTACCTTTAAGCATGCGAGTCACGTCGGATCGTGGCAGCATGGCATGATATTTTTTCCCCTTAGCACAACTACGATCTATGGTCTACCGGTTCATCTTTGTGTCGTGCCAGTTCAAATGCGACCGAGGCGAAGACGGTAGGGATGAGGAACGCTTGTGTGGAAACCTCCTCCGATCCCTCCTCCCGCTAGGAGGCTTGTTTCTCGTGGCATTCAGTTAGACGTCTGGGTCGCTGCTTTAGTGGTTTCGTTGGTGTTGTTTTTATTTTGGTGGTGGTGGTTGTCACCTCGTGAGTGTTTGAGGTTTTCTTTTCTTTTTTTTTATTGTATTTGGCTCCAGCGACGGAGCGTGACTCAACATCGGGGGGCTAATTAAGTGCTAAGCATGTAGCCCGATAGGATTTTATGGTAGTATATGTAGGTCTCAGCTTATTATACAACGAGTGAGGTGTCATGCTACATAATGAGAACTGAATGCAAAAGCTAGCAAGTCATTATTAAAAAAAAATAGGCAGCTATTATGACTCCCAGCCTAGTGTACGTAGTAACAGGCCTTTCTACTTTGGCAAGCTACCGGTCCTTCGTAACTTCGCTGTAGGCAAGCAGGGGCCGGAGCCCAGTTTCACCTCCACTGAGCTCCGTCCCTGTTTGGCTCATTCTCTATCAATATAAGCCCGGTATACTCCTCTCGATGGCTTTGCTTTTAAAAAACGCTTCTCTCACCCGCCCACGGTGCGTGTGGTCTACAGTGCCCTACACCCGTGCATCATCGGTCCTGTTGGTTTCGCTGAAAAGTCATAGCTAAAAGTATTGTTCGCTGATTTATTACGATAGAAAAATATTTTTTTTCCGCTGAAGCAGTACGACTCGTAGGACTAGCCAACAGGGATCATGTCGGTACGTCCGGGCTCTCGCCATTAACCAACACCCATGTGCTAATGCCTACTCCCCGTACAGCACGCACGACACTTATATTATAAAACCCAACCGCAAAAGAGATACTGCCTCGTGTTCCACCATTCATTTTCCTAGTCACGTGTAGGAGTATATATCCTTTCAGCTCAAAGCTGTGTCATGTTTCTACTATCTTTTTCTTTTTATATAAAACCGTCTGCTCACTTTACCGTCAGCTGAAAACCTCTTGTCATTGGGCCGTTCCAAGCTACGGCTCTGTTCGTTTGAACTTATCAGCCATATCGTTTCAACGAAATAATAATATTTTTCTCTCACAACAAATCAGCATCAGTATCAGCCGTTTTTCCAACCAGTCGAACAGAGCCTACATTTACAACGGCTTAAAAGTAGCAACACCGCGCGTCAATAAGTCGTAACCAAACAGTGAAATAGCAGTGGAATTTTTCATGTCAAAATAAGTAAAACCGGTTCTTATAAAATTTCTATATGATTTTTGTAAAATTCTTGTGCTCAAAGGAGACCTAGACGCGTGCTCCTTTTTCTCAGTGACTAATCGGACATTGCCCTACGTTTTGTTGTGTTGGTGTTGACGGTGACGAAAGGTGGCATAACACACACACAAGCTAGGGCGGTCAAACGCTGATGGGATATATCTCAGTGCGCCAGCAACAGTGTAAATTACATATGGGCATATGTATGGCATACGATGAAGCTTTTCTAGAACGGCATAAATAAAGTTTGGGGAAATTAAGTGTAGTAGGTTAAGGCTGATGAAGACACAACGACGCGACGACATGAACATCTCCTCAGTCTCTGGATGTGCAACGACAGAATTAAATACAGTAGGCTACAAAAATGTCCATCACAGTAGATGGAGAGGTCAGAGGTGACAATTCTTCGTTGATCCTCTAGTGCGCTTATTAACGGCGTTTTAGAACCCGTCAAGACTGTGACCGGACAGCAAATCACAGGTACGATCGGCATGTGGAGTCAAGAACCTGACGCACGTAAATGGACTTTGGAACAGCATAGCTTCCGCAAGTCGAGAACAGTTATAGAATAGATTGGTCCACATTAGTACAGTTAATTGCAGTAGTTGAAAAAAAATTAAAACACATACAACATTTCACAACGCCACCTTTTGTCTACCTGCATTCCTTTATATTTTAGAACAGATATTTGACTTCAGCAATTTAATCTCTTGCCTAACAATATTTACTTAAATATTCAGTTAATCAAAGCGACAAAGGCTCATGCTTGGATCTCATGGTCTAAAGTTTAGTTGGTTAAAATTAAGAGCTAAACTTTAGATCACTTTAGCTTATTTGTATGGTCTAATGAACTAACGATTTTTGTGTGTGTGAGATTGGCTAAATTTTAGACTGTGATACAAACCTAGAGCCATAGTATCAATAGATTTACCGTCGCAAGTACTTTAAGCACATCAAAAGTATGCTAAACATGTAACTTATTCCTAACCATTTGTATAAATATTCACAGAGTAGGTGAACGGTTCAACATCGAATAGTAAAGTCAAAGCCATGAATTATTCTAAAACTGGCGCCATTACTTAGTTTCTCATGCTTTCTTAAAGATACTATTTCTTTTTCTCGGTACATGACTACATGATTCTCCGGCTCTACATTTAGTTGAGATGGAGTGGGAGGGCATTAAATATCTCGGTGCATGTCAATAACAAAATTCGGGAAAACTACGTAAAGGTGAACGAACACTCAAAACAAATAACGAGTTCTACAAACTATTCCAACAAAATTAGGCAATGGTGAGCGAACACTGGCAAGCAATCGCAGGTAAGTCTTTCGGTGATATCCAAGGGTGTGCATTTGTTAGGATATATAAACTTGAAGTTCAAAATTTAACTGCCCTCAGAGTGCATTTGTAAGGATGATTGCTCAGCAGTGGTACCATGCTTTAATATAATAACGAATTGCATAGAGGGCGTACCCAGTGCAGAGAGCTCCCGCTCTGTGCGGGGTCTAGGGAAGGGTGTGCGGGGTCTAGGGGAGGGTGTCAGTGACAAGCCTTACCCTCGCCTGTGCAATGCGAGGAGACCGCGGAATTGCATAAATATAAATAATTCATCATTACCATAAAGTCCACTGATCATTACTCCTCGGTAGTGTAGTACTGCGGGGCGAGCTCAGCCAGCCACAAGGGGTCAATACGGGTCAGGTTCTTGACATAGTTCTGTGTCGTCCGAACTAGCTCGTTGAAGATGACACAGTCGGGCTTGGTCCTGAAAAGCACGGATGAAGGGTGGATCTGCACGCTCTGGCCAGTTGCAAGGGCCCTGCCAAACAACAGGTTAAACATTAAAGATGGGGATAATCGTACTCATCATCACATTCTTAACATGCAGCATTCTTCAAGTTTTGGTTGGTGTGATCTAAGTCCCCGATTAGTCTTTGTTCAAGATGCAGGGAAAAGATATCCATGAGGCCATGAGGGGCAATCGGAATGAAAACATGTAACATGAAATGATACCTGTATGATCCATCTGGCTGTCGCATCGCTGCATTCAGGAAGAAAGCAGAGGTAAGGCATCTCCGAAACAGAACCATGTCGTCTCCACATGATGACAGGTTCAGCCCCATTTGTTGGGCATGGCCCTGAATTTGACTGCAAAGAACAAAAAATGCTATGTCAAATTGCAGCATAAATGGTATTGAAAAACCGTACAGTCTACCGTTGGTGGCTTAGACATCTGTGGGCTGTTATGTTTTTTAGCTATTTTGTTTCTGGCAGTTTTCTGGGAAGTTGAGAGGTGTCTTCTCTTTTCAATGTAGGATCTTGAACTTGTCTTATAAGCTGGTGTTCCCAGCAGTACCGTTTGCTTTCAATATAAGCAGGGCCAAGGCCTTTGGTCTAAAAAAAACCGTACAGTCTGATTTTCATTTTTTACAATCATAAAAGTCTAAAACAGTCCTAAAAGTCTAAAACATACAGTCTTCCATTCCATTTTTTACATAAATGATATTCAATCTGATTTTCATATCTCAATCCCTCCAACCATAATAAAACCAAACTAACGTCCCCTTGTTTTGCAATTCAATGTTTCATGTGTGCAGCCAGGTTGAGCATAGGCTCACCTACACCACATCTGAAAACTTAAAGCAAAAATGCACTTTGTGCATTTCTAAATTTATGGAAAGAAAATGCATATATGTAGATCATATATAATTAATGTTGACACAAAATTTCATGGCAAAATTGATCATATGCCTTCTGTATTTTTGTGTAGCTCACATATGATCAAGTTTATCATTTTTTTGTCAACAAAAATTATAAGTAATTTGTCTTTTTGTGTAGCTCACATATGGTCAAGTTTTTCCACCAAAACTCTGTGTCAACAGTGTCCACGACCTAAAGAATATATTTTTTCACTAATTTGAAATTTTACAGTTGTGTTTTGAAAATGGGGTGTATGTACACACAAAAAAAGACAATGCTTATCTTTACCCCTCTTTCCCAATGCTTTGCCTACTTCATTAGGACATTGGCGGGTGTGCTTAACTACTTATTACGACATTTTAACTTCCTATGCACCTACAATAGTGTTTCTGTACAAGTACTGTGAAACAGATGGAGCAGAAACTACAAACTAACCTGTGAACATCGCGAGCATGTCTTAGAGAGCGGTAGTTGATAAAGTTTTCCCTGCACCACCTGTTCAAAGCCTTTTCCATTGTTTTTTCTTTGGCATTTGCATTTCTGCTCTTCTCCAAGCATTCTGCAGATGCTCGATAGACATTCACCAATGTGATATGGTCTCCTTCGGAGCTTTCGAAACCCTTCCTGGCAGCTCTTGCCTATAGAACAATAAAGTAAATGGGTCAATTATTGCACTAATAGAAGCGAGTCACACACTGATGTCTTACTCATCACAAAACACATCGAGTTTCTTTATGTTGTGTCCAACAAGGAAAGGGTAGCACAAAGGAAATGTGAGCAAAAACAGATTGAAGCATATGCTTATTTATCATTAAGAAAATGGTAATCATGATTTAGGTCTAAAGGTACTTTAGTGGTCAAAGTTAAGTTTGACCACTCAAATTCTAGAATGCTACATATGATATATATTTCTGAATGGAGTACATTTTCTTATATAGTTTGCCTACTGGCACTTATCTCCCAATTCCCACTACCAACAAGCTAGTAACAGGAGAATTTGACGAAAAGTGTGCCCCGAAACTACAAAACAACACTTGTTTGCAAAGCAAACACACCCCCCTAAAAGAAGTGAACCAGAGGGAATAACTCCACAATATCAGATAAGAAACCATTTGTGACATACATTTTACAAACTGCCAGTAATTCAAATGGATACCTCTTCTAACTTCTCACGCACGGAGAAGAAAATTGATTCCACTGAAAGCATAGATACAACAATGAGCATTTCTTCCAAGCACTTGAATTTGCTTGATACTATTAATGCCTTGGAGTACATTGGATCCAAAGGCAGCCTAGCCATCTGATGACCAACTGGATCTGAGAGCTTATAATCATCAGTCAGAGCCCCTAGTAAGATTAACTGCTCCAGTGATTTCAAAATAGCAGTCCTGTAGTAGGTTGGACACCAATAAGCAAAAACTCAGCACTGATATAAAGCAACAAGCTATTGAACTTATAATTACTGAGAAGCCTCTAGGTAAAAACTTCAACTTGTTTGTTTCTATTAGGTGTTACCACTGCAGGAGTGCAGATCATAAGGTTCATAAAGAAGTCTATGTAAGGGGTTCTCTTTACCTATAAAGTTAAAGCTGAGGTACATGTGTCAAGCAATAAAATACATCAAATACAATAACATAAATTGCATCCTCTCATCAATGATATTGAATTTCCCTGGAGACAGTAATATTCCAGTATAAAATTCAGGCACAAAAGCACACAGAATAAAAATGATTCTGAGCATTTTCTTTTACATAGAAGCAGCCTTAAAAAAAAGTACCTTGATGGTTTCTCAATAAAATCGAAACCTATGATGTCATCAATTCCAAGAGCCTTGAGTTGCAGAACAACATTTGAGAGGTTACACCGCTTGATCTCAGGCACAGTAGAATCCACCAGTTTATCAAACTCACTTTCTTGGAACAATCGGAAGCACTTCCCTGGTCCCTCGCGTCCAGCACGACCACTGAGGGTAGAATGAGGATGTTAGAAAGGCATGCAATTAAAAAGGGACAAGTATTGATTTATTTGGTTGAATATCTGCAAAGTACCGATATGACTTATTAGCAATGCAACAGATATAAGAAATAAGATACAGAACACTGAGTCATCACATGGAGATTCATTCTACAACTACCATGCTAGCATGCTGACAACCGCTCCTTAATAGACTTTGTGACCTCATATTTAGGCATGAAAAATAAAAAAGCAAGATACACATACCTCCTTTGAAGAACCTGCGCTTTAGAGACTGGGATGATGATTAGTGACTCCATTCCAGTCACAGGATTGTAAGCACGAGCTTTAACCATCCCAGGATCTATAACATATTTGATGCCAGGTATTGTTACTGAAGTCTCAGCAATATTTGTAGCTAGAACTACCTAGCAGAGGCAAATCAGCAAAACGTCAAGTTTGCTTAACAGACTGGTGCGGGGCTTTCAAGATTAAGTGCAACACTGAAAATGGTTACATAGGAAAACAAATTACAAAATGAACCTTGGAGAAGATTGAATCTGCATGGGAAGAACAATAGAACACGAAAACAGAAGGGCTGTTTTTAATAAAAGTATAATTCTAGTCACAAACACCAATATCCATGAACAGTAGACTAAAACAAAGGTAAAAGTTTTCATCTGCACCTAACATTATATTATGGCCTTTGTGAAAGCTAATAATTTTCCCATTGCTATATGGCTGTTCTTATACAACGGTGAGTGTACATGTAAGGAAAAGAATTAAAATGTTCTAATGTCCTCTAATCTAGCCTATAATGGTTGAGATAAGAGGACTAATAATGGCTAGGATATTGCCATTCTAACACTTTGGTTCATAGTGACCTTAAAGTGTGCTCTTTTCACATTTATTAGGGCAAGCAAAATGTTCAAATGACAGTTAACACAGTTTTCCTTTTAGTTGATCCTGATTACAACAATGTTTACCCAGAGGACCAACAATAGCAAGATGAATTCTGTATTTCACTTTATAACAGCAAGATCAATCCTGTACTCGGGGTTTTCCTACCCCTTCCTCTTCTTTTTTTAATACAAGATAAGCAGTTCTCCTGCGTGTTTGAGAAAAAAATGGCATTATTTTACAAAAGGTTACGTAGCTAGTTTAGTAGTATCACATTAGCACTAAAGGAACCTGCAGACATTTTTGGAATTATGATAAACACGTGCAGAGCCTTGTTTAAAGCCTGCAAAGGATTTTAGACAGACTATCAACATATGGACATTACTAATCATCCGTTTCATTATAAAGGGGCATCATTTTTTTCACATATATAGATGACAACTGATTAAGATGAAATAATTGACCTTAATCTCCAAGTAACAAGAAGGTTTCACCAACCAGGGAAACAAACCACACTAAAAGCATGTACACAATAAATTATGCTACATGATTCCTTCATAGAAAAATGATTGAGTAATCAATGATGCTCCCTCTGATTTCATATATTGGCCATTTAGACTTGTGAATAAAGATTTAAGGAAGAGGATCAAACAACCTTGGTGACCTTCATTTATACTGCATCGGGAAGATGGCTTATTCATTTGTGAGGGGTAGTGACATTTATTAAGCAGGGGAAAGGAGGGAAGCAAAGGGTAAGAAGTGTAAATTAGTTCTAGGATGACTTGTATTTAGAGAATACTTGAGAAGGCTGAAATGGAGGTATGCAATTATTTTAAGAAGGATCTTATTAAAACATGACGAATTCAGTCCCATCAGTACCCAATTGATGTTTACCTTGCGGGTTCCAGCTGGTGCTGGCTTAAAAGCATTCATTTGCTGTTCTGATGGGAGAGATGAATAGACAGGTGTAACCCATATCCTACTACTTTCTGGTGGAAATAAACGAGCACGCTCATGAATAAGTCTCTCCAGTGATTCAATCTCCTCTTGGCCAGTTAGAAATGCGAGAATGTCTCCAGGCCCTTCCTCCAAATGGATCTATCAAATCAAACATTTAAAAGTGAAGTTCATATACAGAAAAGGAAGGATGAATTGAGTCACAGTTGGATAGTAGGTTATGCAAGAAATCAGTCATCATTACGATTCTATATATTCACTCATCATGTTTTCTGAAGCATTTTTTTAATTTCTTTCTGAAGTCCCATTTATTGAGACTTTTATTTTCTTTCTTTGTTTGTAAGCCAACTATTGCATGGAGCAAAAGATGGTGCTCACCTGAAAGATGGTAACTAGTGTGGCATCCATATAATCCGACTCAGGCTGATAAGTATATAGTATGTCGACCGGATATTGCCGACCTTGAATATGTACAGCTTTAGCACAACCAAAATAATCAGAAAAACACTTAGCATCCAAACTAGCAGACATAATTATCAGCTTTAGAGGAGCACATCTTATTCCCTGGCATTCCTTAAGAGTTAAATTTTGAGAATGGCCCTGTACATCAGGCAAAGTCTTCCCATTTTTATTGGCGTTAGCTCGGGAATGTTGCACTTTTTTCAACAAACCCAACAAGACATCAGTATGAACAGTTCTTTCATGAGCCTCATCAACAACTATAACACTGTACTTAGACAAGAGTGGATCCCAAAGTGCTTCCCTGAAAATTCAAAGTAATCATTCAATTAGAAAAAGGAACTTCATGCATCAAACAGAAAAAAATAATTGTAGATTTACCATGCCAGACTATTGCCACAGATATATCAGTATGTAAAATGATATGGTATAATTGAATGGAAAATTCCTTAATATAATGATACGCAGCTCTCCTGCGTGTTCGAGAAAAAAAATGGAAAATTCACTTTAGAAGGTTTGAACAAACTCATAAAAAAGACCCACATTGTGCTAAACATTTCAATGCAGGTGTATGGACAGCTACCATGGCAAAACGCTAAAATATAAGAGTTGCTTGAAAGTACAAAATAAAAGGAACGTTATGAGAGAGAAAAATGGAATTATGTATCAATGCATTCTATTCTTCAGTTCCTACTTCATAAAACAACTATATATGGGATTGTACATATTAAAAGGGAGACCTGCAGGCTGCAGGGCATATCATGTGTACACCTTCCAAAAATATACCCAACATTGTTGGAACTTAAATTATTGGGATGGGATGGTGGGTTTAACAGTTGAGACAAGAAACCTAAACCTTTTGGTTCTCAAATTGCTCACTACAAAAGCAATCACCACATCAAAGAGGATTATTGGATCAAAAGACTAACGTACATCCCAACAAAAAAAATGGTTATCAAACAAGCAACAAAGCAGTAACGCATCATTACCTCAGAAGCAAACCATCAGTCATGTATTTAATCCTTGTTGCATTGGATGTGGAATCATCAAATCTGATGGAGTATCCAACCTTTTTGCCGAGCTGGTCGTTGCATTCCTCTGCTACACGCTTTGCTACTGTAACAGCTGCAACTCTCCGAGGCTGAGTGATGCCAATGACTTTACCATCCTGACAAAACCCACCATCGTACAAAAATTGTGGAAGCTCTGCATGACCAAATTAAAGAAAATATTGCTTCTTCAAAAAATCAAAATAATAAAAAAAAGATTGGAGAAAAATTTATAATACTAGTAATGTATGTTTCTGCAATTACAGATGAATATGTAAACAAACCGATTTTGTAACATGTTTTTGTCAAACAATCTGTACAAAACCTAAGAATAACTTTACTAAGCAAGCAATACCACATTCCCACTTGGAACGACATTACAATGAGATTATAGCAGGAAGAGTCCATTTCACTTCTACAATAGCCCTTTCATTAATACTGTAATGTGACTGAATACAAATGTTTCCAAACCCACAAACACAAACAATCCACTGCACCATTTTCACTAATTTATTGCACAAAAGGCCAAAACAGATCCATCTGAATCAGTTCAGAGCCTATTCACACTAACAACCAAAAGTTTCAGAAAGGGGCATGATTCTATCAATTACTTCATCCAAGCAACAATTGTGAAAAGGGGGGACACAGAAACGGACTTACGAGTAGTTTTGCCACTCCCAGTCTCGCCAACAATAATCAGTGTGTCGTTCTTCCTCACCTCCTCAACTAGCCTTTTCTCCACTGAACCAACAACAAATTTCAGCTCCCTGAGCTAACACCCCAAAAAGTATCACAGCGAAAAGACATCTAAAAGCTCTGCAGGCAAACCTGACGCAATGGGGAGCGACTTCCGCTGTTGCCGAATCAGCTGTCTCCATCTGCAGCAAGCCAACCAACACAAAAGGCTCAATCCCGAGGCCAACGAATGAAACAATCGGAAGAGAACAGCATGTCAGCGTCGACGAGATAAGAGTTGGCACCTCGCGAATTGCTGCTGCTTCTGCGGTGAGGCGCCGGCAGAGAAGGACGGCATATCCGAAGACGACGCTGACTCCCGCCCCCTGAACCTTGCCACGGCGGCGGCACGATTAGCCGGAACCCGCGAGCCGGCGACGGAGTGTGGGGAAGTGGGGGGAGACGGAGGCGGGAGGGTTTAGAGTTGGTGGTAGGGTTTTTGGTGCTGCGTGGGAGACGGGTTCACTGCCACAACAAGCTCGGATGAGCTGCCGAGCACGAGGCGTAGGGCGGCGCCGGCGGTCACCGGTAGCGCCACGAGACCGGGTGCGCGCTCGCAGGGCGGACGCAAGGAGGAAAGAAAAGGCAGGTGGTGAATGGGGAAGGGGAACGTTGAGTATGGGTGGATTGAAAAATACTCTCGGTTCCAAATTACAAGTCATCTCAACTTATTTCGTGAAATATCTTAAATTTTTTATTAAAAATACAGAGAGAATTATAAAAAATTATGACATTAAATAGATATACTATAAAAATATAATTAATGAAGAATCTAATGATACTTATTTGGTATCATAAATATTATTGTTTTATTGTATAAATTTAGTCAAACTTCAGTTGCTTTGACTCTCCAAGAAAATTGAAATAACTTGTAATTTGAGATAGAGGGAGTGGTAGGCTAGTAGCACAGTACTATCTCCTTCCAAAGTATAAAACTTTTTTAGCTTTTCTACATATATGAATTTTATTATGTATCTTTGTTATGTATCTAGATATAAGATGTATTTAAGAGCATAAAAAAGTTGTATATTAAATAAAAAAAGTTAAAACGTCTTGTAATAATTTATAATGAAGGGAGTGGTTATTTTTTTCCCATATTCCCTATTGGGCAATATTGGATGTGGATCAAGGATTAATGGATAGTAGACTAAAATGCCCATGTAATGTGTGCAGGGACAATTTAGTAATTTCGCAAGTCATAACCTACTAGGAAACAGCACGGCTTTGCCGCACCTTATATAGAATTTGGGCCAGTGTTTGACCACCTTTTGATGGAACGTGCAAGCGTATTGTGCACTGGTTATTTAGGTTGAACCTTGTGATGGATATGCAGTTCTCAATGCGTGTTAAGAGTCAAATTATGATTTTAGTATAAATTTTAGAAGTCACAATATACTATATTTCAAGACGGAGGGAGTAGAACGTATTACGTATATGACTGTTAGATATAGATATATTGTTTACATATTACACATAGATATATAAAATAGATCACTTTTTCATAGATACAGTTTTAATCTGTCATCCTTGATCATCCTGCCATAAATTGCACAGTTCAAGTGATGTTGCTTCGTGGTCATCATGAGAATCTTCTAAAGAAATCAATACAGGTTGCCAGCCTTTCAAAGTTTCAGAATCCACTTTGTACACTACTAAAAACCACCAAGTATTACTTCCAAGTAATGTCGGCTTTAACCATATAGTACATTAACCTATTTAATAAGGATAGATAGCTTAGCAGGTATCAAAATTTGATCGGGCTAAGCATAGAATATGAGGAATGTTATGGAAACCAATAGCCGGAAGAAAACCACTTTTAAGTTGTTTTAACCCATAGGGACGTCTTGTAACCCATTCAACTCAAAAAGGTATCAACAAGTAAAAATGGTAGCTGTAGGATTATTACTTGAGAAAGGATTATTTTCAGGTAGTAATCCTCAAGTGTTACATGTCTTAGTTTTCAGTTGTTCACCCTATTCGCTGGTTGGTTTCAGCTAAGCTTATTCAACCAGCCAACAGTGTTTCCCTCTCACAAAAAACCAGCACCAGCCAGTCCAAACCAACACCAGCACCAACCAGCGAATATGGTGGTTAAAAGAAGCTCTGTAGCTCAACAGGTAGCAAAGTACGAACCTAGATATATATTATAAAAATTCAATTATTAGTCAAATATTAAATGACTATTTTCTAAGAAAGCTTGGAATTGGAAATCGGATATTAGTGAGGCATCCATGCGAGGATAAGATATTTTAAAAAGCGCATTCGACTTATGTCATCAATTCCTAGGATGGTGAATATCATGCATTCAATTGATAACAACAAAATTCAGCTAACTACGTTCAAATTGTAGCTTAATTTTTGTTTTACATAAATGAATACAGCTATGTATTGCTAATTTCAGTTCTTACACAAATTTATAGATACATTTACAGCATGCTGCCAATCCCTGAATTCATACGAATTGCTAATGATGATAACGTACCTCGGTTAGTTTTCTTGTGTCTTCTTTCTGGTCTTCTGCTCTTTTTTAGAATAGTAAAAAATGCCATCAAGATAATGGTGTTAGCCAAAATATTCATATGTAATGCTTAAATATATGAATAAGGATCACTGAAATATTATTTAAGCTTAAGCTATCTGAAAGTAGTTCACTTTCATTGAGAACAATGGAAAAACTTGAGTGGTTGAATGGTATTTTGTTACTCCTCCGTTCAGTGAATTGTACTACTTAAATTAAGTTACATAGATTAGATTATCAGATTGGTTGACTGTGCATGGGAATAACCATAATGCCACCAGAGTGAGAACCTTAGCCAAAGTAGCAAGTGAGCTGCCGTGAAAAGGGTATGCGCTGGCATCCCCGTGGATTGTCAAGCATTTGTCGCTAACAAGGGCTGAGTGCTATGTTAATATTATTGCACAAACCCTGTCGAGGGGAGTCTGAACAGGGGCTTCTGTAACTTAGTTGGTGCTGCAATAACCAATTAATCTGAGAAAGTACCAAAGCTGATTTTCCAAATATATAAAGCAGTGAAGTCCAAATCCGATTGACCCATATAGAAGAAAGGATAAGCATATTATTGTGTATATATCTTAATGTGGACAAAAGCCTTTCTTTAGGGTATGAATGGACTATAGAATATTAATTAATATCTAAAAATCTATTGTAGCAAGCCAAATAAAATTGTCAACACAATGCTGAACAGAGGGAAAAAGAACTTAGCCGGATGGTAACACCGTGGCTCTAGACAACACGGGGCAGTATCTAGATCAACCGAACTTCAGTTCAGAAGAAGTCACACCGTGCGAAGAGGCATAATTTTCTCTCTTAACTTGGCAAAAAACACTTACTATGACAACTTTAATTCAGGGAAGAACAGCACTCCATAAGTCCATAACATGCAGACTACCAAGGCTTATCATTTCTGGAGATGCAATCCATCTGATTTCCTGAGTGTATTGATTATGAGCACTGAACGAAGGATGAGTGTATCACTATATACATAAATAGATGTAGATGTCATAGAAATGCACTGGTTCCTGTTCATCGTATATGCACTAAATGCACTAAATAGTTGTCATAGCAACGCAAGGACAAAGAGCCAAGGGAGAAGCCTTAATCCTCGTTATCCATCTATATAGTAGATTGTATATAGTAGATTGTCAGCAAGAGAGCTATTGGATATATTGCTGAGTTTTATGTTGTGAGTTTCATTTCAGATATTGATCTCGAAACCATAGTTTTTAAGTCGTCGCCTAGTCGTCCAGGCGCTGAAAAAAGTCTGGGCGTCCTCGACGCCACGACCAAAACCAGCAAAATGAGGGAGCAAGGGAGGGAGGAGACATAGGAAGAACTGGAGGAGGACCAGGCAAGGCTAACCACTAATCTCTGCTCCCATCCCCATCAGCTCTGCTCCCATCCCCGCCAGCTCTGCTCCCCAGCAGATCTGGGAGGGGCTCTTGAAGGGCAACAGCAGGGGATCTCACACAGGGATCTAGATGGAGGGCGGCGGCAGCAGTGAGGAAGGGGAGGGGAGATCTAGAAGGGGGCGACAGCAGCAGTGAGGAAGGGGAGAGGAGATCTGGAAGGAGGCGGCTCCAGCAGTGGGTACTGAGAAGGTGTTCGAGAGGGAGAAGAAGCACTTGGAGAGGAGCAGTGGTAGCCCTAGATAGTTCAGGATAGTTTGGGAGGGCTTTTATGGGCTGTCTGCTGGACTGGGCCTTTTATGTTCCTTGTCCTTCTCTTTTTCATTTTTCTTTTTTATCCCTTCTCCATTCTCCTGCCTTGAACATATGGCGTCGCCTTGCCTTGCCTTATGATCGCCTAGGCGTCGCCTAGACGATTGGAAGGGGGTGGCTCGCCACGTCTCGCAGCGCCTTAATAACTAAGCTCGAAACGATAGCAAACTTGTTCTTTTTTAAGGTTGGTATAGCTGGTTGTCTTCCTTTTTTATCAATTATCATTAGGACCTCAAATAAAAGACCCTTTTATGTTATGCTCTTGCTTTCACAAATCTTTGACAATGGAAGTAAATTTGTGGCCAACTAAAGCTGTTGTCTCAGATTTATCGTAATCTGATCTAATTAGGGGTAAGCTCTTTATTAAGTGTAATCTGAAACATGTTAGCTAGTGTGTGAGCAGGACTGCTATGTAGAGAGGAATTAATATATCTTAAAACCGTAAGTAATTATTAGGAAATAAGCCATAATGCCAAATGTGTTTGGCATAATCCTGATACCGATAGATAGAAAATGTACACCATCAGTTTCAGAATTTAGGGATGCATATTTTTTCTATGGATTTTACAATTTCTTGTATGAACAAGTACATACACACTGAATTATCTAGCTTGTACTATTCACCTCTTTGAAGCACGGAGAGGCTTGGATGGCCGCTCCAGCACTACTGCTTCTCCGGCGGCCAGCAACGATACTGCCTGATTGGAGCAGGGACGAGAAGCTTCACAGGCGACCATGCGACGGCTGGCTCTGAGTATGGCCTGCCTCCGTGTGGATTTTGTAGGGTAGTAGCCCTTCCATGAAAAATCACGAGCAGCCACAGTTGTGGCAGAGATGCAGCTTACTGGAGGGCTGACGGCGGTAGTGCTTGCGGGTGGACGATGACTTCTTAAATCGGGTGCGTACGGAAGGGCACGACGGCGCGGAGGCCACGGAGCTGAGATGGATCCCGGCCGGCACTATCCGCGGAAGAGGCACGCGGCTCGCGCCCGATTGGGGCGGTGAAGCCCAGCAGGCAGCGCTCTTCGATGGAGGTGCGGGACCGTGACGCTTGACGAGAGAACGGTGGCCCGCAGCCACGACCGAGTTTTGCTCGCCCGCGACGGGGGAAGGAGGGGGATGCGAAGGGGAGCGGGCGGAGCCACGTGCGGCCCGCGAAGGGATAGCAGACCCGAACCAACCCACATCAGACGGTCCAGATCTTTGGCTCACCCGATCCAACGGTTAGCGGTTAATGGACGATGTGGCCCTATCCGTTAGCCCGCTTATGGTGCAGGAATCGTATCTAGAGATTTCACACCCATACCCAACCACCTAGGTGGGATATGAAGTTATCATATCCATATCTCAAACTATGAAAAACATGCATGCTACTATTATGTACGTACTCCCTCCATCCCAAATTGTAAGACGTTTGACTTTTTTGGCCCCAAGTTTGACCACTCGTCTTATTCAAAAAATTTGTGCAAATATAGTCAAATTTAAGTCATTCTTGAAGAATTTTTATTAATAAACCAAACCACGACGAAAGAAGTGATATTTTACACAAATTTTTGAATAAGACGAGTGGTCAAATTTAGTGTCAAAAAAAGTCAAACGTCTTACAATTTGGGATGGATTGAGTACATAGCAATCTATTTTAAATTTGAATGTATGTTATCCCTAAGATAATAGCATATAGTAATAGTAATATAATGATAGAATGAACAGCCAAACTTATTCTTGATCGAATCATACTTATTTTTGTTTCTAATCTTGCCATAGTTTTTCATTCTAATCGGATCTTACAAAACCTTATATTCAGATCAATCATAACTCTACTTTTACATCTTGAGTCGTCCATGAGTACTGGTCTAGGCATTCAAACGCTCTGGTTCAACAATTGTCCCGATGTGGGGAATTTCATCCAACAAAAGCAAGTAGATGATGATGAGTTTGCTCCTGGCACTGGATATAATTTCGGTAGTGATTCTTCGTCTGATACTACACCAATCCATGATTTTGTTCTTATAGGAGAACTCAAGAGATGCAAACAAAGGGAGAGTGCATCTGGAGAAGAAAGCCGCGCAACAAGAACGAGGTGTACGTGCATTGCGCGCCATGATAGGAGTACGCATGTTGTGTTGTGCTCTACCAAGAAAAAAAAGAGTCTCGATGGCGTTTCCAAACCTCTACAAAATTATGGTTTTATAAACACTGCAATTTCAAAACTCCAAAATTTATTCTATTCAAACAAACCCTTAGACTCTATTTGACAATCCCTAGTTTAACAAGTAATTTCAACTCACAAATAGTATGCTAAACATGTCATTTATTCCTAGCCATTTGTATAAATTAGGCAAGGGTGAGCAAACATCGTAGCATTTGACGAGTTGCACAAACTATTCCAACATGATCCTTTTTGTGATAGGTCACACTTCATTGATTTCGTCAAGACTAGAACTGGGATTAGTCAAGAACATAACATGAGAGGCTTTGCAAGTCTTGAACTGATTTAGAATCAATTGGCCTTAGATTCGTCTAGCCTTGTTACAACCAAAAACACAAGCTAAAGGAAATGACACAAACAAGAGTGCACTGAAAGACAATAAAATGGGTGAATGAGAAAAAAAAAATGGCACAAAAAAGAGTGCACGTACTGAAAGACAAAATGAGTGCAAAAGAGAAAGACAATAAAATGGGTGAATGAGGAAAAAAAATGGCACAAAAAAGAGTGCACGTACTGAAAGACAAAATGGGTAAATAAAAAAAAACTGCAGTGAGCGTGGATCGAACACGCGACCTTCAGATCTTCAGTCTAAGGAAGTCCCAACTGAGCTATCCCCGCTTTTGTTGCACTGGTTTCATTTAGTCTTACTTCACTCTTTTCCTGTACCCCATATTGATAAGCTGTGGATGGCGAGAGGGCTTGCTTCCTCACTCCTATACCGAGAAAATGGAAGTAGCAGGGGCGGATCTAGAGAAAAAAATGATTAGAACCACGCTGAATATAATTATCAAGTCAAGCTTGTATTTGATGATATGCGAGGACCTCACGATACATTTGTGTAAAAAAATTGGAATAGATCGCTACTAGTAAATTTTGAGTGGCGGCATGTGCCACACTCGACATAACCTAGGTCCGCCCCTCAGCCTTCATACCATCGCCGTTTTAGAACTTTGAACTAGGATAATTGAATCCCCTGGTTATAGTTATAGATAAAGGCCTACTTACTTTGAAAACAAGGGAGAGCAAAAAACCAGGGGTGAAAAGCCCTTTATGAAGAACTAAGATGTTAACTCTATGGATTACCCTCGAGAAAAAGTCTAGGATCTCGGAGGGATTAGAGTTCCAAATTTGGCCGAAGTTGTTATAAGCCAAAATTCGTCATTTCAGCAGTACTTTCAGCGAATGAACAGTGTTTTCCTCTCACAATAAATCAGCTTAAGCCAAATTTCAGTGAAACAAACAGGGCCGACGGCCCTAATGCATGAATCCTTCTCACTGTCACTACAATCCTCGGGACAATCGTGCATGTTCATGCCACATTTGCCCAACACATCTATATACTAGATTTAGATCTATGGAGGATTGGTAGGAGACTTGATTTATGCTCATTTCTCTTACCAATCCCAAACATCTCGGCGAAATCCTTTGCTTGCTACCACACCAAGAACAGACATGGTACAATTTTCATTTAACATTCAGGACTGAAACACGTCACCGTTAGCAGTTACATGGATTGGGGTTAAGTTAACCTTATTTTCTCCCCCCATCAACTGTATATAACTTAATATAATACAACAGCCATACATTACATGATCTGCAATCTATAAATAGGCTAACGCTAAAATAAAGGTCAAAACAGACACTGTCACACAGGCAAAGCAGACACATCGCCTCAAAAAGAAGCAAAGGTCCTGGTGGGCCGGAAGATGCTTTACATTTACATCAGTGGCATGGGACTATGGGAGTACTCGTCGTCGTCGTCGTCGATCAGCCTCCCATCTGGTTGTGCTGTGCCGTGTACACAAGAACAGCAGCCATGCTGATGGTACCATGCCACTACACCTACCACGGCTTCAGGTCGCCACGGGGGCCCTCGGTCCAGTTCAGCACCTTCTGCCCGGGCTTCAGGAACACGCCCTCGCCGTGTGGCAGCTTCCGCGCCAGCCCGTTCAGGATCTGGTGGAAGGCGTCCCCGGGCTGGGCGGGCTGTGGGAACAGCATGGCCTGCTTCATGGATGGATTCGCGAGGAGCCTCTGCTTCCGGAGGATCACCTCCATCGGTATGGATGTCAGGATGGTGTCCAGCTTCGGGACGTCGTCCTCAACCACAAAGACACCAATCTCCTCCCACGGGATTGCGTCCGCAAAGGGAAGGACAATGTCGTCGGCGATGATCACCGGGATGCAGCCGAACACCACCGCCTCCACCAAACGGGGGCTCCATGGGGCCCAGCCCAGTGGGCACAGGCAGAAGACGGCACGCTGCATGTCCTCATAGTAGGTTGGTGGGTGGTCTGTTGAGATGTCGAAGAGCGGGTTGTTCTTGAAGTTCTCCCATACTGATGCACGGGCGCCCCTGCATTGCACACGGTAGGTACATCAGGACTCTTTGATTCAATGGTTCATTAAGTCTTCTTGTTAGGGCGTGTAATTAAGGTGTGTACCTTGCATAGTAACCACCCTCAGGATCATTTGCAGTGTCATAGAATAAACCACGGAAATATACAAAGATCGACCTAGGGGTCCCTGGGGGAACAAGGTGGGTTTTCATCTTCTGAGGAGGAGCATATGGTGGGATGGTGATGGAGCCTTCCTTTAGGCAGACATGATCTTTCTGCCCAAAAGTCTGGACCAATGTAGCACGGCGAAGCAATGGAAGGACTCCTCGCTCGATAGCCTTCTCTTCCTGAACAATGGGTATTTATGAGCAAATACGAATATAAGGGTAGAAAGTTATGCATTGGGAAATGAGTTCAAATTCCATTTTATGAGTTTCCAGGCTAGGTTCATTTGGTCATCCCACATTGCATTGGCAATACATCTGAGGATTCATGGTTTATTATGGCTCTAAAGCTCACCTGGTAATGGAAGCATGCACCAAAGTCATGTGGCACAACAAAGAAGTGATCTGCTCCCTCTGTCCTGTTCCAGTATGGCCAACGATTGAAATGAACTGAATCAAGGCTTCTCATTATTCGTGGAGACTTGAAGGGCAAGGGATGGCCCCATGGTGTGAGATCACATGTGGTGTATACTGGAGTATAGAACCAATCAGCTTCTTCTGGATTTAAAGTCCGGATCGCACTAGACAATAGGAAGCGGTGCATGAAGATCTCTGCAGCAAACATGTGGCTGAGACACCGAGAATCTTTAGCCACCATCTTCTTGTTGTACTTGGTCGGCAACTCGTAGACATACACCTTGAGCCTCCCAACGGGATCATCTTCGAGCACATCACCAGCGCTTCCTGAAATTTAATCAGGATCGCAAAGAAAATGTGAGAATTCTGAACTGTAACACCACAATCCTAATCTCAAAGCCATTACACTTTCGCTGCGATGCATAGTTGAAGCTGTACTAACCAGTAGCCACAGCATACAGTTTGCTATGAATTTCAATGAGCTTTACAACCCAAAGTTTACTACTGGTAAGCAGAATTAATTTTAATAGGATGTAGCTATATTGTTTTATAAAGTCAAGAAGGTCAGTGTTTTTTATTAGTGACCCCCAACCCAAAAGAATAGATAATTCATATTGTAGTACCTCCGGTCAACTAAAGTTGAGATTCCAGACATGATTTTTGACTTGCTTGTATATCAGTTTCGCTGTCATCTTTTGCTGACCGGAGGGAGTAGCCATTAAACATTCAGTTAAGTTTGCTAATCTAGTAATCTGTACTAGTTTCTACTGCCAGGGGTGTCCTTGCTTAAAGTTTGCTACGTCTACTTGACATGGCCTTGGGTCTGGCCATATATACTTGGAAAAGAATCGAAATACACTTGTGCAGCGATAGTGAAGCTCACTGTCGGATATCTATACCCGGGTATCCGAGCCAAAGGATTAATGAGCGTCACGTCGGCTCATCCGATGGTTAAGGACGCAACTGCGACCTCGTCCGACTTCGAGGAAGAGGATTCCGCCACGTCCGACCCCCAGGGGCCGGGCCACACCTCGTCCAACTCCGAGTACGAGGTTTCTGCCTCGTCCGACCCCCAGGGGCCGGGCCACACCACGTCCAACTCCGAGGTTTCCGCTTCGTCCGGACCCCAGGGGCCGGGCCACGCCTCGTCCAACTCCGAGGACGAGGTTTCCGCTTCGTCCGACCCCAAGGCATGGGCTCCGACTCGTCCGGTCCCACGGGGAGGGCTCCGCTTCGCCTGACCCCCGAGGGTCGGATTCCGTCTCGCCCGGCCTCCAGGGCGAGATTTCTACCTCGTCCGTTCCCTGGGAGTCGGATTTGCTATCAGACAAAAGCAGTGGCCCCAGGGTGGGACCCGAACCGCTTCAACCTCTACGGCATGGAGGCGCACGCCCTGGAGCACGTCTCGGACGCATCCTGATGCAACTAGCGGTCGCATCAGGCCATGCTGGGAGACTCACGTCGCCCACCGCGTCAACAAGCCGGCACTATGCTGCCAACTCCCTGCCTGACCACCGTCCAACATCAGTCAACCGGCATCAGTTGGCTGGCACTGTACCGCCAGCCCCCCGTATGGCCTCTGTCAGGGGACCCTTTTGACCATTCCGTCCGCTCGGATGGCACGGAAGACAAGAACGACGCACGACTCCCACACGTATGCTGCAGCGGCCAACAGGACCCCGGTGCGACGTCGCTGCCACCACGATCTACAGGGTCAGCAGGACCCACGCGAAGAGGAGGACGACACATCTCCGGGAGCCTTATTTCTCTTTCTTTTTTCCTCTTCCCTTCGGCTGTAACCCCTGCTTTCCCTTTGCCTATAAAAGAGAAAGCAGGGTGTCCCACCCCGGGACCGATGATTGAACAAGTGCATCACACAGCATCGGTTCACCGCACCGTATCAGACACCGAGCAATCGAACCACAGAGACTTGGGAGCTACCTCCCTCTCTCGCCAATTTGTAACCCCCTACTACAAACTCAGTGCTGGTAACACGAGCAGCCCGAAACTGGACGTAGGGACATTCGGCCCGAACCAGTATAACCCTTGTGTCTTCTCAGCACACCATCCGAACCAGACGCGCAATGTACAAATTTACTCGTTGGTGTTTCCTCAAAACAACGACACTCAGCCGCTGAGGCAGCATAGGCAAGGCAGGATTTATATTAACCATTGCTCAGATGCACATAATTTGAGAGCACGCAATGCAGTATGCAGAGAAGTCACTAAGTTGACCTGAGGGTCTTGAAGCACATTCAATTGTCAATTGTGTCAACTGCCCAGCCGGGGGATGGGATTTCATCGTGCATAGTGAGCAGAACTGACAAGGAAGGAATCATGGATTGGCGAAGGAAAGCGTAGAACCGCCTGAGCCAGGAGCTGATCCAATGACAGATCTGCGCCCGCCCGCTCGTGTGGCCAAGGCTGCTGCTTCACAGGATTCCAATCGCAACAGCAGATCCATTTCCATCCACCGGCGCGCGTCGAGAGGCAGGAGGGGGAGCGAGGCAATGCGTAATCTGAGTGGCGCAAGCAAGAGGAAAGGGGAAGGAGAGCGAGCGAGGCGAGGCCCGGGCTGCGGGCGGCGTACCTTCGATCCGCTCGGTGTCCTGCGCCCTGGCGACAGCGACGGCGCCAGAGCAGACGAGAAGCAAGACGGCGAGCGCGGCGGCCATCGCCCACGCGCTCCCCGCCCCCATCCCCATTAGTCGCCCCTCGCCCGCCACCCTCCGTCGGCGCACGAGGAACGGGGAGATCGAGGCGAGGCTGGCTTCAGACTTCAGAGGATGGGGGCAACCGACCGTGGAAGCAGCAGGAAGCTCGTGGGATTGATTGATGCTGCTGTGAAGGCAGGGACAGGGACACCCGGACAGTGAGGTGGTGACGAGAGTGCCGAGCCGAGGAGTCAAAAGGGAGGCGGATGGCACAGGTGTGGGAGCGAGCAGCGGAGTGGGCGAGTGGCGATGATGGCGGTGGCTTGCGGGCCGTCGCCGTCAGTGACGAGCTGTCGGTGGAGGGGAAAGGACAGCAGGCAGCAGAGGAGGACGAGGTGGTGGGTGCCAGGTTGCCCTCATCGAGTCGAGAGAGTACACGCTAGTAGCCTAGTACTACGCGCCATTTTCAGCCTCTTCGGCGGTATATAACTGTCTGATTAGGATATTAAATCAGTACTTTTAACTCATGGCTTATAAACCAATCTAGCCGAAACGAATAGGCTCTAAATGTTCAGATGGATCTATCTATGGGCCCAAAGAATCCATGGAGTTTATGGAATTTTGAGGGTGTTTTTATTTTGTTAGAGCTGTCTGATCAGCGTCATTACTATCGTTTCGGAAGAAGGAAGTCTTCATCGTTATCGAACTGCTAAGATTATGGCTGGATCTTGATGAACTACATACACATACAAGGTGAATTTCTAGTGAAAGGCTCGCGGCACCCGTATGAATAAGATGGCGTCCAAGCAATTATTTTGGCGGCACAGGGTGAATGAGGTTAGCGAGCTGATGAAACGGAGCGATCGTCGTCGTCGATCAGGCGAGGCCGGGACGGGGGTTATTATCATACTAGTCCTTCAGGCGCGCCCATGTGCGCGGTGCACGGGCCCCACATATTATTCTGGAGAAAAGAAAAGAAATAATGAAAGGTGGACTGTTTTTTGATTTGAGAAAAATCAGAGAATGTTTTTGTAAAAAATGATGAGAGTGTCTATGGAGCGCGGGTTGAATTTCGATAAAGTGGAGGTCTTTTTTGCAAACAAACCGGTGCGCATCCGTTCTGGACTGCGCGTCGATTTGGAAATAACATGAGGCGTTTTTTGTAAAAAATTCTGAGAGGACGTCTGGAGCGTGGGTTGATTTCCGAAAACTGAAAGGGGTTTTTCGTAAAACGACCGCGGCTCGCCCGATCTAAACCGTCCGCGCGGCCGATCGAACGGCCACGAAATAACAGCGACGTGGACGCGCTGGCTGAGCGAGCTGGCCACAACGAATCATATCTTTAGATCACTAGCTAGCTGCTGCTGCTGCTTTTCTATGCTTATGGTAATCCAAATATCCAACCCATCCCTTTCTTCCTTTCGTTTCCTGTCGTCCTTTTTCTTTGGTACCAGTACCAATAACTACTCGTAGTAGCCGCCTCGTGCCACTGTTAGGAACTGTCGGTGCAGCACTGCAGCTGTGACCTACTAGCACGATATGCAGACATGCTCCCGCCTGCCGCTGCTGCGTCTTCACCTTCTTTTCTTTGCGTGTTGCTTCGGCACAATAGTACAATTCATGCATCATCATCATCATCTATTCATCTTCCTGTTCTCCTCCTTCTCCCCTGTGGCCTAATCTGGCCTGCTTGACCTCCGCCATTTCGCCGCCTCGTCCGCCCAGTGCCGTCGTTTAGGTTAGGTGCTCCGATCCATCTCGTCTTCTTCTCCAATTGCTGATCGTCGACCTTGCTATAATCATTCATCACGGCCTGCCGAATTGCTTCTGTCGCCGGCTCGCCGCCGCCTAGTGCCATTGCGCCTGAAAAGCATTTTCTGCGTAGTGTCCTGCGCATACCGAGTCAAGACTGAACTTTATGCGCTGCGGTTACAAACCATTGCCGCCTAAACCGAATAGACAAACCATGCATGTTTACGATTTCTGCACCATGATTTCTGTTTCGTTCGCAGACATCTCAACTGCATGCAGGTGGAGGGTACAAACAATGGCTAATGGCTCAATCATTCTAGCTACTCCTTTTCTTTTCACAACTAGTGTTAGGGTCAAGTTTTGTAAGTATTGACCAACCAACAAGTACTGTCAAATTATATGCATCAAAGTTTTACCAGTATATTCCTATTTCAGTTTTCACACATATTTTGATAGTACAGTATTAGAGTTTCTACAGACCAACTGATAATACTTAACTGTAGGATAAATTATTGGTCACTTGGTCAAGGTACCATGTCAGGAACCTTCCCAAATCATAGTACAACCTATACAAGTTAAGAAAATGACTAGCTCATACACCTCATCGGCGGAAAAAGAGGGAACGTGCTGATGTTGACTCCATTTCTAACCCTTCTAGCACCCACTACTTATATTATACTAACAACCAACAATCTTTCTTTAGGTTACTGTGCTCACGTCACAACTTCCTTGAGAACTCAGCAACATTCAGACAAAGACTGCAGCGACATGCTGCCCTGAGAAGTCATCAGCCATCAGCAAATCAGACAGGCTTCCCAATGATCTTGCTTCAAAAAGTAGTTTCACCTTTGCATTAGATGATGAAAGGGAAGCAAAGGAAACTAAGTCTTGCAGCACAAACACGTTGTCGGTCCATGTGCAGTATATATGGCAATTGTCAGCTCGATCAGGAGGATAATGAGAATGAGTTCAGACATTCAGAGTGAGTAAAATGTTGTAGATTTCGACTATGGTATCCACATGATTGACAAGGCTGACATTCTCATCACCTAGTGAAAGGAGCGAAAAAAAGAGAGAAATGAAGATATGTGGTATAGCAGCTATATATAGGGAAAGAAGAAAGAACATACAAAAATGTACATTTGGCTTATGGTCAGCACTATGCAGCCATGGTAACTTAAAGGCGCACGTATGTATATCACCATGTCCTCAATCTTGCTTTTTTTCCCCCAAAAAAAGTTCTAGTAATATGGCAAGCAGATGCTACCAAGGCTTCAGGTCGCCTGGCGGTCCTGCGGTCCAGTTCAGGACCCTCTCCCCGGGCTTCAAGAAGACGCTGTCACCGTGCGGGAGCTTACGCGCGAGCCCATTCAGGATCTGGTGGAACGCATCTCCCGCCTGAGCAGGCTGGGGGAACAGCATGGCCTGCTTCATCGACGGGTTCGCAAGGAGACGTTGCTTCCTCAGTATAACATCTGTTGGGATGGACGTCAGGATGCTGTCCAGCTTCGGGACATCCTCCTCGGCGACAAACACACCGATCTCCTCCCACGGGATGGCGTCCGCAAATGGCAGGACAATGTCGTCAGCGATGATCACCGGGATGCAGCCGAAAACCACGGCTTCCACCAGCCTGGGACTCCACGGAGCCCAGCCCAATGGGCACAAGCAGAACACCGAACGCTGCATGTCTTCGTAGTAAGTCGGTGGGTGATCAGTTGAGATGTCAAAGAGCGGGTTGTTCTTGAAGTTCTCCCAGACTGATGCACGAGCACCTCTGTAGAACATGCAGAATGATCAGAGATCAGACCCAGGACGCCGTATTGCAATGACTGACTGGGGAAAAAAGAGGCAGACATTGAGGGAAGTTGCATCACTTGCAAACAGTTAGATGATTTACCTCGCATAGTAACCACCCTCAGGATCATTGCTGGTGTCATAGAACAGACCACGGAAGTACACGAAGATGGACCGAGGGGTGTCTGCGGGGATAAGGTGAGCCTGCATTTTCTGGGGAGGTGCAAATGGTGGGATTGTGATGGACCCATCCTTCAGGCAGACATGGTTCTTCTGTCCAAAGGTCTGAACCAGTGTAGCACGCTGAAGCAAGGGAAGGATTCCCCGTCCAATTGCTTTCTCTTCCTGAAAAAAATTGAAGCGCTTGTGTTACAGAAATATTGAGATGTTGGAACAGCCAGTAACGAAAGGTGCCAACTGGAAGTTTAGCAAGTTGTCATTTCTATTAGGCAGTTAGGTAATAACCATGAATCTGGATATCAGTATGACAACTAACAAAATTTACAGCCTGAGACATGTTTCTTCAACAAGAGACAAAGAACATGTGGATCTGAATTAGTTTAGTCAGAGTAGTTCATTCATAGTGAAACAAGAATCTTGATGCCCACAATGCCCCATGTTCTGTGACGCAATTAGATATGCCCCAGTTGTTTCGAATGCTGGTATTCAGTACTTGTCTATTATTGCTTAGCATCTAATCTTTATTAGTGGAAGAATAAATAAATGCACGCTGCAGCTACTTCATGTACTGGTTTTTGTACCTGATAATGGAAGCAAGCACCAAAGTCATGTGGTGTGACAAAGAAATGATCTGCACCCTCTGATCTGTTCCAGTAAGGCCAGTTCGTGGCAATCAGCTCAATTGCGCTGCGCATCATGCGAGGAGATTTGAAGGGAAGGGGAAGACCCGAAGGAGTCAGATCACATGTGGTGTATACGGGCGTGTAGAACCAATCTGCTTCCTCAGGATTAAAAGTCCGGACAGCGCTTGACAACAGGAACCGGTGCATGAAGATCTCTGCGGCAAACATGTGGTTCAGGCACCTAGGATCCTTCTTCAGCAGCTTCTTGTTGTATTTACTGGGGAGATCATAGACGTAAACCTTGAGCCTCCCAACAGGGTTATCTTCTAACACGTCACCAGCACTTCCTGCATTTTTATTGGCCACAGCATTACGGCTTTGCACAAAGGTAGGGAAAAGAATATACTTGGTCTTAGAACCATGCTAGGGATCACAGGATCATAAAAGTAGAATGATAGAATGAAAGTGTGCCAGGTACTAGTAAGCCATATAGGTGTAAAGTGAATTTTTGCACCTATGCTAAACTGAATAAATCATAACTGCCACCATGAGTCCGTTATTGCTCAGTGACTGAGTAGGATTCTATTTGTCCAAGCTTGACGAACTACCAACAGAACACCATGAAAGAGGTATAGAAATTGTAGGAAATAAGCATCATATTGCATTCTACATTTTCCACGATGGATTCAAGGAGCAGCTCAGCAGCATGTAAAAAAAAAAGCTGTTTTCTGCTAAATTTCGTGAGAACCGGATCAAATTGCTATGAATAGAACACCGCAGGATAAACCTGCATTCAGTTTATCTGTAACTTATTAGCATACGAAATCAGGATCGAACTTCAATGAATTCAGGATTCAAAGGCCTGACAGGTCAACTGCCACACTAATCGACGCCAAAATTCTTGCTTTACCAAATTATTACTAGCAAATGCACAACAAACACCCAACTAGACAGACTAAGCAGCTTGAGCTCTACAAACTGACAAGAATGTGCCTATCAAAATCAGAAATCAAGATGGAAACAAACGCAAGGGAAAGAGAGGTCCATGTCCATCATCTCTCACCTGAGATCCTCTCTGTCTGGTGGCCCTGCTGGACCGCCTGGGCCTCAGCCCCCAAAGAAGAGCGCCGCCGCCAGAAGAAGCAGCAGCAAGAATGGCGATGGCCAAGACCCACCGCCTCATCTTCTTCTGGACCCCTCCCCTCCCCACGAGCCACTTCCTCTTCCCAGTGAGCACCCGTTATCTGTGTCTCTACTCTCCTCCCCCCAACCCTCTCTGTCTCCCTGTCTGGTCTGGTCTAATGAGCCAGGCAATCCCCCAGGGGGTAATTAAAGAAGAAGAGATCCCGGCCAACGGGAAGCTTTTCGGCCAATTCTTCTCCTACCAAGCGGCGTTTGGTGGGGAGCGAGAAGGTGAGCGGTGGCTTTCCTAGGCTTCCTTCCTCCTTCCTCCAACGCGCGCGCACACACGCACAGCACAGCAGAGCTTCAGGAGGACGGAGAAATAGGCCGGGTTCTAATACCACTTGGAAGGAAGAAAGGGATGAGCGAGAAAGGAGGGTTAGGAAGGCTGTCCGCGGCTGATTCTTCTTTTGCTGTAGTATGATATTGCTATATAGGAGTACGTATGCATCTCCCCTTTTCCTCCTGCTTTCCTAGCCTCGTTTAGTTGAGGCCAGAATCGGCGCCGCCGTAGCGCCTGTAGATACAGTAGGTACTGTAGCATTTTGTTTGTATTTGGTAATAATTGTTCAAACGTTGACTAATTAGGCTCAAAACGTTTGTTTCGTAAAGTACAACCAAACTGTGCAATTAGTTTTTGATTTCGTCAACATTTAGTACTCCATGCATGTACCGTAAGTTTGATGTGACGGGGAATCTTCTTTTTACATAGTGCCAAATTTTAAATTTGGGGTGAACTAAACAGGGCCTTGATCTTTTTCCACACACCAATGATGAGCTGTAGTCCTCCCCTAATAGGCTAATAACTAATGTAATTGTGCTCCATGAATGGAGGTTTGGTGAGGGGCTTGCCTTCGCATCAGATGTCAGGTTTCTTTCCTTCCTGATTTCACCAAACTTGGACTGGACCTCTCACTTGTCTTGTGCCTTAATTAACAAAAACGTCTGGCAGACCTTGATTTCTTCATTTCGTCAAGAGAGAATTGCATTGCTATTGTTATTGCTATTGCACCACGGGCCCCTGAATTTTTTATCCTGTCAAAACCCACCTCCTCCTTGCATCCTTGTCGCCACGGTGTTTAACACTCCTGCTGCTTCTGCAGTCATTTTCGGTTCCTTTTCACCACTGTTCCAATTTCCACGCAATGTTTTATTATTATTTTTCTCTTGGAAGAAATGTGAACAATGCTGACTGCGACTGTTCCCTTGCACATGGGGCATGCATGCATGATGGAGCGCTGTCATGGGCTCATGGCTCAGCATGACTCGTGAGAGGGTTTCCTTTTCTTCGGTGATGATAGTTGCAGCCAAAGCAGAATGCCGCTTAATGCTCTCCTTCTTTTCGTTTAATTAACAAAATAAATAACTTTTTGTTTACAAAAATTATTAAACTAAGCAAGACAAAGAACATTGGGTGCTTGTGGAACGAACGTTGATGGCATAGCGGATTTGCTTTTTTTTTTTTTTGAGCAACTCATAGCGGATTTGCTGAAAGGGATTAGCAAGCTGTTGCTACGACTATCCGGGCCATGGGTTTGGTACACGTTTATCATAGTGTACTAGGGTTCGATTATTATTCGGAAATCGGAAGCAGGATGAAACCCGGTCCCAGCAGGCTGGTCCAGAAAATCGTACTGCAACTGCAAGCAATCCGGCGCTGCTCGTCAACAGCTTGACAGTGGCAGTGGCAGCACGATGATGAGATTCCCTTGCTCGTAGGGAAGGGAAGCGTCCTCTTCTTTTGTTAGCCCTTGCTTAGTTCGTGAAATTTGGATTTTGGATTACTGTAGCATCTTCGTTTTTATTTGTTAAATAGTATTCAAACATGGACTAATTAGGCTCAAAACGTTCGTTTCGTAATTTTCCATCAAACTGTGCAATTAGTTTTTCTTTTCGTCTACATTTAATGCTCCATGCATGGGCCGCAAACATTCGATGTGATAAGTACTGTAGCAACTTTTTGAAAGTTGAGGTGGAACTAAACAAGGCGTTAGTTGCTCATAATAATCTCCCTTTGTTACAAGGAACACGAGACAAAAAAAAAGCACTCCACATCACTACTGTATTCCTGTTGCACGCCGTTGGAAACTGGACTGGCTTCGTCTACAGTAGCATCTTTGTTTTGCATATTGGGTTTTTTTTTTGAGCAAATGTTTTGTATATTCCCTACGTACTCAAAAATAAAGTCGTTTTGGACAAGACTTAGGTCAAATATTAGGAATATAAATCATGAATAACTTTTAAGTTATTGAGTTTGGAAATGTGAAAACCATATGTATAGATTTGTCTTGAAAAATACTTTCACAAAAATTTACATATATCACTTTTTGATAAATATCTTTATAAAAATAAGTAGTCAAAGTTATGCTTTAAAGACCGTGTCGCTGTTCAAAACTCATTTTTTTTTAGCATGGAGGGAGTATTGGTTTGTCTGTCTGGTCTCTGATGACAAAATTAGGAGGCGACAGTAGGAAACCTGTGCATGTAATAATATATAAACCTTGCAAGCTTCCGCATGGTTGGGCCGGCTTGGTTGACTGACTCTGGGCCCGGTCCAAGGCTGTCGGTGGCGTGTGAGGGGGAAGTCGGGAAGAGGGCAGGCGTGGGCGCCACTGCAATGGCGCGCGTGTATGTATGTGGTGCCGGTCTGCCGGAGCATTAACAATGTGGGGTGCCGGTTGACTTGGAACAAGCCCTAGTTAGGTAGTTAAGGACAGGGTTAGGCAATAATCGTGAGTCAGGACAGGACAGGACAGGAGAGAGTCCTACTTGCTGCCGACTCTCCTTGGAGCGGAATATACCTGCACGCTGCACCAAACTTATACGAGTAGTAGTCGAGAAGAAGTGGTTGGTCAACCGCGTCATCGGTTGAAGATGACGACAAAGCCCGTTCGGCCGGGGCAGAGCATGCAGAGCGGCGGCGGCGGCGTCTGACCGACGCCAGGCCGCGCCGTACGTACCAAACGCGGAGACGGGAGGTGGCTGGTGGCTGGTGACCACACCACACCACGTGATGGCCAGCGAGCTCGTCTGGGTCTGTCTGGCATGGCCATGGCGGGCAGACGTAAGGCTGCTGCGCTTCTCTTATAATCCTTCTTTTCAGCTAGTTTTTTTAATTAAAACTGTATTTTTTTCTCATAATAAATCAGCTAAAATAGTATTTAGACTTATTTTTTCAGCGAAGCAAACGGACCGTAGGCTACGCGGGCTCGTTTCGGACGCATCAATCCGGCCAAACACCCAGCTACTCCGCACGCGGAATCAGGCGGTGGCGCGGCCCTTGTTAATTAACCACACTTGTTAAGATTGCGCTGCGCGCCTGCGTGCGCCGATCAACAAACGAACTATATTATCAAGTCTGTCTAGTTCAACGCATGAGGTTCAGGCGGCCCGCGGCCAGCTAGCAGCGTCGCCGTCCCCAGCTATTTGTAATTTCAGACGAGCGCCTGCCAGTGCCAGGTACTGACGTTTCATTAACTTGGTGGACGGGGAAGAAGACGAGGAAAGGTACGTCCCCGGTGACCCTCGTCCCTCGTTGCAAACCGAGACCAATGGGAACCTCGCCTTCGAGGGTCGTGCGTGCGTGTCCAAAACTTTAAAGTCAATGCGCCCGATGACCTTGAGTACTTGTACTTATATAGACAGAACTGAGAATTGCATCTTTTTCACGGGAATTAATTATAGTTTGGCAACGTCCGCGTAGATCAGATGGGCCTCTCAACTCTCAATACGGGCCACGGCAGGCGATGGACCCAACCCATCGGTCAAATTCCGTGCCATTTGGTGCTGGCCTGTTAATACACTGGGCCTTCGGGCTTGGCGGCCGTGGCTCCATTGGTTCTCGTCGCCTCACCATCAACCGAGATGGATGGGCCTAGCCATCCGCCGCGGCGAGCAGGGTCGCTCGCTCCGCTGCCTGCCGTACTCAGGTGTCATGTCACCATCATCTATCCCTCTCAAAAAGGAATGCAAATATGAAATCTCACTTGTGAAGGGAGTAATAATAGTATAAATATGTATAAGTTTAATAATAGATTAATTTCGAAACATATCTCCGGCGACGGGTTGCGGCAGCTCCCTTCCTGGGCTGGTGGTGCTCTGATCCGGCCCCTCTGGGCTCGATCTGGTGCTTCCCCGGTCATTTGGGTGCTGTCGCGGCCGGATCCACGCGGGGACTGCGCGGTTCGTGGCCCAGCTGTGCCAGGTGCTCAGAGCGATTTTTTTTATTTTTAACATTTTTTTAACTATTTTTAAATCTAACACTATTTTTTTTTCAAAACTAACACTTTTGGTCGCGCCTATTTGCATGGCGCGGCGAAATCACGCTGCCGCGCCATGCATGAGGCGCGGTAGGAGCGGTGACGTGGCAGCGACAAGGGCCGCTCAACGCTGACGTGGCCGAGGCTACCGCGCCGCGGATCTGGGCGCGGCACTGACGCGGCACGGAGCATGGCGCAGCAAGACCCGGGCGGGTGGGTTCATCGAATTGGCAGGCCCATCGCCAGTCTAGGGGCCGCACGGGCATACCTCTGCGGCGGAGCGTGCAGTGCATGCGTGCAGCTAGAGACTAGAGTAGACTGCCATGGCTCCTCGATGACCGAGTAGACTAGAGTAGACTGCAGGCGTGCACTAGGTCCTCGATGACCGAGTAGCATTTAAACAATGTTTGAATGGACGAAATGATCGTTTAGTTTGAGAGTGTTTAGTTCAGTTGTGAGTCATGGAAGAATGTACTGCTGCGTCAACAGTACGAGGCCAATCGATCGAATTTGTTAGCTGTTGCTATTAGCAAACGTCTTAATTAGATTTTCCTGGTATCAGGATGATGCGGATGGTGGCATAGCTAGACGCTCTCTATTTGGTCCGCGGATTGTGGCTGCACTTGCACAAAGACCTATGCACACAGTGGTATTTTTGCACAAGACCTTGCGCTGCACATGCAACGTATCGTACCAGTACCAGACTAGCACTTTGCTCTTGGTACTTCCGTACTTGCCAGAG